AAGAAGCAAGAATCAGTGCTTTATATTTCGAATAAGGACAAGAAATTGATCAGAATTGAATTGACTGCCAGCGAAACAACCACCAAATAACACTGGACGCTTCAGGATACACCTAGAGCAGTCCAGAAATAATGATTGAATATATCCATCTTATTCCTCTTCCTTTGATTCAGAGCTTTTTATTTACATGTGGATGTTCCAAGCGCAAATTATTCCTCATACTCTTACAAACGTATGACATGATTATGATATGATATTGATAATATTATGAGCAGTAATTTGTAGTAGAAACGTGAAATATTGCTGTATAACACTTTGTGATTTTTCATGCATTTATGTTACCATTGCTTTGAAAGGTATGCCTTATAATGACCGGTCTATGATCAGCTGATGAAAAGCTAAGTAAACGAATGATGTTAACATTTTACTCTGTAAAAACCATTGTTTTTGTTTCTGATCATCATAATCATCATAATTCGATTTTGGAGAATACTGGAGTTTTAGCTTGGAAAAAACAGCCTGTTTAATCAAGTAAAATGAATGTATATAATTAGTCAAATAATTATGAAATGAAATTCTTGTTGAACTGAAACTTTTAAGCGGATCTGTAATCTGAATTTTCATCCATAGTGTACCACAAATTTGTGGCGGAATGTTTGCCATGTATATAAAATAAAACAAAATTTCACAAGTTTGACGATGGGTTGATATCAGTTAGAGAAGCGCTGAAGAACATCAGGTCGAACTGCATAGCTGTTTTGTCAGCGTAGTTTGAGACCCGTCAGAAGTACGTAGCTAATGAGGTTTGGGTGCCGGACTTTCCGATTTCAAGAGAAGCAGTTAGACCATTCAGCCGTTTAGACCACAATCAATCGGCAAGTCATGAATTCTTACCCCTACCAGTTGGTGATTTTAGCGTGACTGGAAGCAGAAAGTGTCATCTCCGGCGAAAATGTTTCCTCACTCTCGAGTGGTTGAACCCTACTGGTCAGGATTTATCATTAGAAATCACACCAGGCATATTAGTGCTGCGGGCAGTCACTAGTGAGAATCAGAATAATTTTGAAGATTTATTTTGTAAGAATTTGATTTTTTTATGTTTCACCACAGATTGATCACAGTCAGAGAAGCATTGATAACCAACATGAGATGTATGTATCCACCATGGAACGGTCTATAATCAAGAATTGTTACAAGTTAGAATTCATGCAGTGGCCATTGAGTTGGGCCTTTTTAGTTGAAAGGTCTACAAGCTTGCCATGTAACTGGAAGATCCTGTGTTCGAACTTCAGTTGGCGAATAGTGCCGAAGAGTTCCAAACTAAGTAGTAGAATATATGTCCAGGACTCCTTGGCGTTTTTCAATGGTCCTTTAACTGATATCTATCCATGGTGAAAATGAGAGCGAATCCCGTTACTCTGTTCAAACCAATTATTGAAAAATCTACTTTATTTGAAATAGGTATGAGTCTATTTTGTGAGAAATGATTGGTTCATTTGCCTTCACATGCATGATGACCATGGACAGCAACAGTGACCGTGGATCAGTATACTGTTGCTTTTTTCTGTAGCCAATGAACTGCTCACTGATTTTATGTGCTAGGTGGTATGCTGTGTAACTTGCAAAATGTACCTGCATCTTTAGATAGGCGAACACAAAACTGAGATACACATTTGTACACCATATACATACATAGTGTGTAATCACAGATAACTATAAAAAAGCTATATGTGAGAAATTTAGTCATAATATTATTTTGCAGTAGATAACAGTGACATCACACACTGTTGAGAGATCTGGAATCATGCAAAATTTATTACTACAGGCGTTACTTTGCCTTCTACTCCTATTATCTAATAACAATGCAAGTAATGAATGTAAGTTGATTATTTATCTTTTTTTATTACTTGTCAAAATATTATCCTTTTGCTTTTTGGAGATTTTCTTGGATCGCAATTTTCTCAAGTTTATTTATAATAGTTAACTACTCATCACTGTAACTATTTAAAGGTGAATTTAAGTATAGATTTAGTTGATTAGAAATTAGATAGAGAAACATCGACCAGTGGAACGCGTGTTTCATTCTGTCTCAAATGTCCGTGAAAGCGTTCGTTGATAGTAGGACTGTATTAGTGGCTTGACTGAAGTTAGAATGCCTGAGCCTGTAGATTTCAAGTCAGCGACTGAATGATCGACACACCAGCCTTATAAACTGGTAGGGCAGAACTATGGTGAAATCATAAGTGGATAATGTAGAGGAGTCCTTAACTACAGAGAAATAGATGCTTTTCTATAACGCTGTAAACTAATGTTATTTCTACCCTCAAATTAATCAGACTTCACTAGTAGAAGACCTGAAATCGAAATATTTCAGTCAAGCTAATATTGTTATTTAATGTAAATAAACTCCTTGGATATCTTGAAATGTGTATGTGTAGGAGTTCGACTTTCTCTTCTGATTAAATTATCCACAGCGAAGTAAACTCAATTCGGTCTGATTATCTTAACAAGCAAGTCGTGTTGAGTTTAACTTCTGAAAACATCTCGATTTGCATGACATTGTGTAACGACAAGGAATATCAATCTAAAACTAACTAACGGAAAGTTGTGTAACATTTAAAAATCTATAGGATTTTCTGTGATTGAATTCATTTCACACACTTCAAGTTAAACTCCAAGCTGTGAATTAGGTTAAATTTTTAATCCTTCACCGTTAAAAAATTTCCTCAGTGGTAAAATTAACACAGGTATAATCAGAATAAAAGCAGCCTGCGTTCACTATATTCTTCGTTATATTATGTGCAGTGTGTTACTGTTTGTATTGATTTATCATTCCTTTCAACTGTCATTTTCTGAAAACGTTTATTTCTCGATGTGTATTAAAACGAGCAAAATAAGGTAATAAGGCTGGATTTAATGTTTCATCAAATTCCGGTAGAACTCCTGCATTATATTCCAACACAGTCACAAAAGTGTACACTGAGAATAAGGGTAGATATATGTTTAAAACGATAAAGACATTCATAGATAGATGGATAAAAATAAACATAGCTGGAAAAGTAGGTGAATAGCAAAACGGATAGCAACTGACACGCATTAATGCGTCTCAGTGAACCGGTGAAAACAGTGTGAAAGTGGCTTTTAGTGTATTGTAGTGTGGCATAGAAGAGTGTATAGCAGAGTATTTGAATAAATAATGAAATGCTATATGATTCCATTTGTATTTGCTGGAAGAACTTCCTCGCGAATCCAAAGTTATGAAAAATCTCTGTGTTTTGATTTCAGATTTATTCGTCGGCGACCATGAAGAAGGTAATACTTTGGTGTTTTATAGGTTAACAGCATTCTTCACAGTCTTCATGAGATGTTCTTCGCATCAGGCTCATTCTTCACTCACTCACTCACTCCCTCACCCAGAGATACTCTGAATTATTCAGTGACAATGATTTCGTCATTTTTTTCATTTCTTCTGTGTGCCGTGAAGTTGTTGGTGTTTTCTGTGAGTGAACGATTCGGTGGTGCAGTTTAGGATCAATGAGAAAGAAGTTGCTTCAGAATTACCGCCCAGTCTCGCAATAAATTCGTATACTGAGACGTACTCACTTGTTATACTTAATTTAAATATTCCACATGACCTGGATCAATTTTATTTAGAATTGTGTGTTGTGAGCTGTTGTCCTTAGACAGGTTTATGTCGTTTAAAAGTGTACACGCTTATTTCTTATTAGGAATGAGCAATTTGATTTGCAATTTAAGGTTTAGTAATCACTTAGTGGCTGCGAATTCTTCGAAGTGGAATTTGGTGTTGTTCGATGATTCATGTAATTATTGTACGCTTGGAGAAGCATGAGCTGACGAGATTGAATGCAGATTTCTTATAGTTAAAGTGAACTTCACGCAATGAAGTTACATCTGAAGCATGGAATAACTCATTTAGTAATATTTTCCTTCGTTACAACGAAGTCAACTAAATATATGCGTGAGTGCATTGTGCGAATCCAGGATATAATTGATTGGTCAGGACAAAAACAATTATAGAAAGTAAGATGTATTGCGTTTGGTTGAATTTCAGGCAGGCCAGTGATTCATGCGAACCACCACATTTCACGATCATCATTCATGCTGATCCGTGTGCAATTTGCCTTTTATACCAACTTGTTTTTTCAGTCAGTGTGACTTTTCGGATGTTTGTTATTGGTGTGCTTTTTCTTAACTGCGACCACTTGAATCTCATTAGAGCCATTGTCTTCCATTTTATTTTCAGTTAATGCTTACAAGTTTATTACTCACTGTAAGAGTTTTCCACAGTTTATTTCAGAGATCTTCTCTCCCATACAGTAGGCGTTTTACTGACAGACTACTAATAGCTAATGGAGACGGTTTTGTGGAATATCTCCATATGCTTTAAAAATGTATATTTGATCCCGAAAAGTGTGTTGGAATGTTAGCTTCATTTCTGTTTATCAGATTTTCAATGTGCTGTCCACATTCCACCACGACTTTATCTTATCTGTTGTTGAGTCTTTGATCCTAGAGACATGTCACAACATTTTGCGACGCATGCCCAACCCACTATTTTCGGCAGTTATATGCTTCAATCTACAATAGCTGCTGGTGATAGATTTTCTGCAGTTATGTGAATATTAATTGTAAGGACATTACGATGCAGTCAGCTGATTGTCCAATGTAAATATGAAGCTTCGATTTCCATCGAACTATAACACACATTGTTATCATTGCTGTATGCTGAATATAATTCATTCATCTAGCGAATTTCACCGAATTTCAGAACAGCATCCTTGTATTGTTGAAGAATCAATATCGTCATGATTATTTTCATGGGAGTAGGGATCTTTCGACAAAATTGAGTAAGCGAGGGCAGTTTTACTTCGTAGTGGTTGAGTGCATTATAAGATGAGTGTGACTTCTGATTAGGGAGATTTTTGTTGTTAGTTTGTGGACTTCATAAGAAGTTGAATCCAAGAGCTATCAGATTTCATATTGCGTCTTCAGTAGGAAGCAATTATTCCGCATTCTAATTCATCATACGGGAGAAATTTATTTTTGGTAAATTACAAAGTGTTAATTAAATTTCCTGATGGAAATATTTTCTCTATTTCAGATGACCCGGATTCAACACTAAACGCATACGTAGATTCATACTTTAAAGTTGTGAATGATAAATGTATGTGCTTATATCACTGAAAATTATTTCATGGTTGTCTGTTTACTTTAGACTGTTCTATAATGATCGGTGTTACTATTGTTACTACTCATATCGCTTGACCTGATTCGTAGACGGCTAATCAACTAATTCAATCACTGATAATACTGAGTAGCTTTTAAAAAATTTTCATTGCAACTGCATTTCTTCGTCAAAATTCAGGGAGACATATTTCTGATGTCAGCAGATGTATGTAATGTCACCTAATTGTAATAACTTGCAAATCATTATCGTGGAGTAGAGCAGGAAATCGGTGCATCAGCGTGAGTGATAGTGCTTTATCCACTTCAGGAAACTTGATAATCTCCAGGAGAATACTCTGCATCCATGTGAACATTACAGACCGAGATGAGTTGAATAGCAATTGGACAGTAATGTCGATGAGACTGAAATGCTTAATCACTTGGCGCTGGTTACCAGTGGAATGTGAGAGAAATGTTTACATTTATCTAATGGTGTGTCGACAAAGCACAGATGGTAGTGACATATTATGAATGATTATATACAGAAAGACAGAAAATCTGATTTTATGTTGCTTAGACATCAACAATTATTCTTTCAGGATATTTAGTCAATGAACGAATAATCCACATACTTTAAACTTATTTCCACCCATTTTTTTTGTTTTAGTTTTCATGATTGAGCTTCAGACATACTGGGATCCCGAGAATGCGGAAGAAACAATAAAAACTGGTGAGCAATTTCATTAAGATCTTTACTTAGCTGCATATAAATGTCAGTCAGAAATAGATGGTCAGGTCTTTTTTCAATCAATACATTATGTTGCATTTCACGCATTTTGCAGATATTACTTGCTTATGAATCAAAGGTGGACTCATGTACTTTTTGAGAATGAACAAGTAACTTGTTTGTTTTTCACCATGTGATGAAAATGGAATGTACCTCCTGGTATGTGCATTGTACTAGAACAACAGTGGCTGATTCTGATGCTTGAAATAACGTCTGTCGAGTGTGTGGCATGAAATCTCTTGCAGAGACCCACTTACCTTCCTACAGTCACTGCTGCACGAAATCTCATTTCTGCTTGGTGATTTGAATTACATCTCTGAAATGCATGAACTCACTTGTGGGTGTAGTGGAAGATTCTCTGTGTGAATTGAATACTGATGGGAGCGACTGCGACTGGAAAAGAAGTCTGAGGTTGGTGTTGTCTGCTGCTGTCTTAGATTCTCTCAACCTGTCTTACAGTTTGTCATTATCGTTACTCTCCTGAGTACGGAGTGGAAAATAGGACACCAACTGCACATCTCCATACCATCACCCTCTCTGAAGTCCTTTGTGACTGTCTTCACAACTGTCTTATAACCTCTATTTTCGATTCACATAATTTTTATCATGTCGCCACCATAACAACCCTAACCCCATTATACCTCCTTCTCGTTCCACTCAGCGAACTGGCGTTTGATATTAGTCTGCGGTTTCCTCAACGCATGTACCATCTAACTTCATTTCACTTGTCATATTTGTTGGTCAGTGAGTTCATGATTGGTTTGTCGCCAAATGTCCACGTTGCTATTGTTTTGGCTTCCTTTCCTTCAGTAGTGGTGCATCGAAATCATACAATGACGAAGGTTTGCAGCTGCCTGTTGTAAATGCTTTGTCAGCACGATCAGCCTCTGAATCGCGTAGTAGCATTGGCTTGACGTCAGCTTTGCAGATCCAGATCTCATTACTTATGCTGAGTGAAATCATCTGGTCTACTGATTTGTAAGCTGTAAATTTCTGTCTTGATTTTCTGATCTCAACAAGCTGCAACCTCCTCACCCTTGTCGTCACGTGTAATTGAAACGATGCTGCCTGAGTAAGTAAAGGAAATGACTCCCTTCACATTTCTGCTGTTGCTGCTGACTGGTCTGTAAGTTGAGCTCATCACTTCTATTTTCTCTATGCTCATCTGAAGGCGTGTCTTCGTTGGGTGCTTCTTCTCTCAACGTGTTCGTCTTCACCTGCAGATCTTCGAGTTTGTGTGATATTGGACATAAACCCCCGGCTAAGTTCAAACCTTTTTGACTCTGCTTGTTACACCAACGTTTGACCATCCTCCTGCTGCTCATGGTCTCTTACACGATGCAGTCGACCATAACCAAGGGTATCATCGGAGATCAGCCTCACTGAGCTTTCTGTTGTGAATCCAATTGCACTTGAAATATTCACGTGGTTGTCCAAGGCTCCATATTTCGTAGTTTCAAATGCTGTCTAAAGTCTTTTCAAGGTCGATGAGTTTGAGGTGGATATTGGGTTAAAATCCTGTGCTCTTCGGTCTCCCCACGATAATATAAGCTATTATTCGGCAGAAGCAAAGCTTTAGTCGCTCTTCTTTGCAAGTTTGACAAGGCCATCTATCCTTCTGATCAGCATGTAACCTTATGCCCCATTGGCGTGAGTTTATCTGATGAAGTGCTTCCACAGGTATTCCATCTGATTCTGTCACCTTTACAGATTATAGTAACATTGTGGTATTTGAAACGTCTGTCTTAGTTGGAGGATTGCTATTCACAGAGAGTACTGTGCCTGCTGTTGATGGCATTTCTAGGAGATTTGCAGTTGGTGGTCTGTTTGAGAGTTCAAATCGTTTCTTCTCTTTTCTAGCTGACATCCCTTCACCATGGTTTCATTTGTGTTGTTGTGTTGGTACACTGATGAAGTTATCTTAGGTCTCCCTTTCCTGAAACATATTCTGTTTCACTTTTCAAGATGTCGCGTCTGATTTTCTTCTCAATTTTATGTCCAGAATGCTAGATAAACCGTTTCCTAAGATGGAGATGAGGATTATCTGATATTTGGCGTGTCCAGCCTGTGAAATATGTGTCATTTTTTGTATGTGTTGCGCAGTCAACAACTGTCTGAAGATATAGAATAACGCGAAAAGTTCACCGTCCGCATTTTTTCACCCATAACCTCTAGACATATGAAAAGTCGCTATCCCGTCTTGTTTGCTTCAATTTTCGCATTCTGATGTTTCTATTTGGGGTCATGAACTTTACTACTTGCAGTGGTCTGCAGAATTTTTTCCTCTCCTTTTGGTCAAGGTCAATTGATGAAGGATAGCGCTGGAAACCGTTTTGTTGTGGATGTTGTGTGTCAGTGAGTGGATGGTCCCATTTCAAATCGAACGTCTAAACGAGCTAAAAGTATGGATTGTCTTTGTTACAGGAAAATGAGACACTAAAGTATTACCACCATCTGCAAAGGGAAATCATTTTACTCAGGGAATATTAAGAGGTGATCCATAATGGAGCATGATTACGAAAATGCAGTCGAAGTAAACTCAAAGGTGAAAATAAACACAATCCCATGTTTGATGTTGAACACTGAAATTAAAAATGAATCACTACAAAATGAAAAATCGAAATATTAGATGCATGAGTAGAACGACATTTGAGCTTATGAATCGTAAGATGGATATAAATTGGTTTACAGAGCTTCTGGTTCTTTCTATCAAAACTCATGTATTCTAATGCCTACTTCTTCAGTAAATCTAACAGTAGCTAGCCTTTTGATGCATGGCGTACTGCCTGAAAATCGCAAATGGGAAATAAGAAATATACACTAGTCAAAATTCTCTCAACAAATAACCTGTTTCAGCCAACATTACATCACGCACTAATTTCGTGTCTTTTTCACATCAAACAGAAATCCTGAGACTTGAACGCTTATATCAAAGAAAATGGGAGAAGGAATTTCTCGAAAGTAAGTTCTGTCATCCAAACTCTTGATTCAATGCTGTTCCTGAATCCGAATGCATGATGAATATAAACGTGAATTTTCACTAAGGTTAGACATGTTTGATTACGAATTGAAATGAATTGCAGTGCCATTGGAGATGACCAAGGAATTCAACTACTCCACAAATAAACATCAAAACTAGTATTTCGGAGAGTGACCTCTAGGTGTTACTAGGACAGAAAATTCTGTCAGCAAACAGACAGGAAAATTTTAAGGAAAATGAAGAATGAATTTCATATGCATATTTCGAAAAGTACTCCAGTACACATCTTTCCAGTACGCATAGCATAAAATGCTGAATTTCAACATGAAATGTAACCATATTTGGTCCGTTGATTCACCTTTCAATAGTCTTTTCAATGAAAAAAATAATATAGTCTGACGTATGAGTTATGTAACTCCTCAAACAAGTTGCCTTGCTGTACTTTTCACATCTGACAAACCCTCAGTATGCATTCCACATTTTCTTACTATCCTCTTCTTTCCATCCTTCCGAGTACAAATAAATAACTTTCCAAAATTATTTACACTTTTACAGCAATCAGTGCAGAAGACAAGTCGCTTGTGAATCTTTCTAACTGTAGGTTATTTCATCATGAATTATTAAGCAGAGTATATATGACAAAATGTTTTTGGTATGTGAAGACAAAACCGTCTTCTTACTGTTTGTGGAATGAACGTCAGCTTGAAATCATTTTGTGCGACATATGATATCGGAGATTTATATTCATATTTATTTTTAATTGCTAAGGCTAAGAGAGGAAGCCGTTATCGCTCACCTATACGAATGCATTTTAAAATGTTTCGTCAATTCAATCACTAGTAACGACGTATTTCGTAGTGATACAACTTCCTCCATCATTCACATTCTCTACAATGTCCTCTTCAGTATAACAGTCTTCAATACATACATGCTACAATAAAACAGCATGCATCATTAATAACATTCTGAATGTAGTCTTTAGTTCATTCATATCTCAAGCCCATTGACATAACTTGGAAACTTTGATTGTGTATTTCTACTTTATTTTCATCAAATGTCGGTTGAATAAATAAATCCACTGTTATATAGTTACACCATGAAAATACTACTGTTATTCTTTCTTTGCCTTCCTGTATGAATCACTGAAATGCTCATTCCCGAAGATATTTTGAATGGTTTAAACCTGAACCATACCGTTGGAATACCATAGGTTGTAGTAGACAGCGCTGTAATAACCTGAACTGATTCAATGAACTCGATGTTGAGAGGTATTTCGCATGCGACAAATTCATATGCCTGGTGAATGAAATGCATCAGGGTATGTGTCATGTAGCAGTGTAGGTAAAGCGAATGATTTGCTTTATTGTAAACGCTGTCGAAAGTCTTCACAAATTCGTTGAGGATGAGTTAAACATTTCACTGCAATTCTGATGCTCGCTAGTGACTTGCTACAGGTTGGAGCTTCCTGGAGTTCTAGTGAGAAGTCGTGACCAGTGAGTTCCAATTATAAGTCACGTGTGTGGATGGATGTCTCACCAACGACAATAGTTGGGGTCGCGCTAAAATCACGAATTGGTAGAAGTTAGAATTCATGAGCCATTGAATCGGGTCCCAGTGGCTGAATGGTATACGAGCTTGCCTTGTAACCGGAAGGTCCTGGGTTCGAATCCCAGTGGGTGCGTACTGCCGATGATTCCCAAACAAGGATGAAACAGCAGCTGTCCAGTACTCTCTGGTTTTCAATGGTTCTCTAACTAATATCAGTCCGTGATCAACTCGTAAAACATAACTAATCCTTACAAACCAAACTATAGAAAATTCTAGTCTGTTTGATGATGACATTCAGGCAATCAGATCCATGTATAATTTTTCTTTCTTTAACTCAAACTGATTCCATGGGCAACATTCATCTGTGATATCTGTTGAGAGAGATGCACCTTACTATTCTACTTGGAGATGACATTCGGATGATAACGAAGATTTAGTACTGCTCGAAATGTCATCCGTTTATAAATTAACCTAATTCACGCTTTCATACTATCTCAGTGTAGAAATACTGACTGTAGATTTTTGGCTATTTGAGGAATTAAATATGCACCAAACAACGCTTCTTTTCTATCTAGATGAATACAGGAAGGCATTGGAAGATGATGATGCTTTTCAGCACAACGTTTTTGGTATGACTAATTTTTTTAACTAGAATTTGTAAATTACTTGATGAAAAATTCATTTGTTAGTTGGAATCAATTGACCAATTTTGTGAAAAATGTACATAACATTTTGAACTGGTGTTTTGCGTCAAGTCATCTTTTCAGTTTGGAATCACACTTGCTTTTCAGCCATAACAATCGCACTTTTGTGAGGATAAATCTGATCGCCATTAGAACGTTTCTTATCAAAAGTCGGCTCTCCTATTTCTTTTTTAATATTGGTTTGTTACTAAGATCCACTGTTACGACAAACTACATTTCAGTGATATTCAGAAGATCTACAGGTTATTTGTCTATTGATGGATGATATTATCGTATCAACTGATGATGACTTTCACAGTCTGCATATGTGAAGTAATCTTGTGCCCTACTCTTACTCAGAAACCTGACCACATTCACAATGTGTTATGCATGGCTTAGGTGAATTCACTGGTCAGTACTTGGAACTATGATGAAATCTGTTGGATGCATAAACTGAGTCATACTCAGACATCCAGATAGATTACCACTGTCACTATGTTCGAGGATCATTACGCAGCTCAAATAATCATCTGTCCACATCTAACAAAGCTTATGAGTAATAAGTATGCCATGTGAATTTATATTTATTCCTTCAGCTAATTATGGACGATACCATCAGTTGAAAATGCATATTTCAAAGAAATGGGAAAATCGAAAAAATCTCGATATTGCAGAAGGTAATAATTTTATGATTCCACTATTTAGAAAGGCAGTAGGGTATTTTATATTTTATAATAAAGAAAATATTCTTCTTCTGTAATTAGGTGGAGTGCGTGAGGCCACAAAATACTTCTCACTTTTACAGAAGACCAACCACAACACATCGGAATTGCGATATTTCGTCTTAAACATCACACTCACGAGTGTGAATTCTGACTAATCGAGAGAGAAATCGTGATAAATCGCTTACTGATAGTTCCAAATTCAATCTCCCATGAATTGACGGCGTTGCATGAGAAAACGACTTTCTGTAGGAGTGTTCTGCACTTTCTATTGATTGGTCTCACTGATTTATATTCACGATCGTGTGTATTTTAAGGCTTCTTGAATGTTTGCAATTTTCTCATCAGCTCTGTTATTCACACTTGATAGAGAATGATGAGAATACCTTGTGGTGACGCGCTACGTAAATAACAGAGAGTAGTTCATGCAATAAGCGACAGTAGGCAAACACCATCCATGTATTCACTTTGTCATATTTTGTCATTAGAATCAGTTGAAAACCGACTACTTTCCATCGGTATGTGAGTGAGAATACACTCACTCGATGGTTTGATAGCATTTTCTAACAAAGCTTTATACTTGGTAAATAAGTTAATTGTGGTATCATTTGAATTGAAGTCAGCTGAATCCATTTTCAATTAAATTGATTATGATAATGTTGGATTCATCGTATACCTGGAATTTGAGTTACATTGTTATGTATCAATTGCAGCCAAATTTTTTGCGGATACATCAAGCATTTTGAAGAAAGACGAAGGTTAGTTTTCTTTCACTTTGAAATTCATCTTCGTAACTTATAAACTGTGCTGAAAATTGTGTCGTCATTTTGTGATTAGAAGTTACTCTGATCTAATTATTATACATATTCACAACTCCACTGTAATGTGGTGAAATTTATTTGTAATAAACCATGTCTGAATATCCTTTGTGACAACCAGATGCAGCAGCTAGTTGATTGTTCGACTTAATTCTGGAGTTGTTTGAATATGTAGGAGAGGTTTATCTACGCACTCAAACACTCTGTCTGCTCAAATTCATTTTGCATCAGCATATGCAGTTCTGACACATAACACACCTCCTTCACAATATTGAACTCTACATAGGTGGAGTTCTATCGGAACTTTTTTCACAGAAAGATCATCTTGATGAGTAATACGTATTAAAATAATGACAATGAAAACTGTAGTTCACATTTTATCACGAAAAAGTACAAAGTGTATTGGGAGGTTTTACTATTATCTAGTATGAAACGTGTATGCGTGTAAACATCTATGCCTTACATACTATGGTTTACCCAGAAATAATGGACGGAATTATATTCACTCAGTGAAGTATCGGTATGACTGTAGTAAACAAGAGACCTGGTAAAGGGATATTTATTTGAAATTTGATGTTGCTGAATAGCCGAATTGCGTACAACTTGTCTTCAAATCACCATTTGCAAAGATCTTACTTTTTGTGCTACTTCTCTCCTTTATGTTGTGTTTCTTTGTATGTCTTCCATGTCTCCCATGTTGCGCCGGAACACTGAATCATTTGCTTTCCTTGATGTCAAATCCATCCCCCTGCTATTCGATGTTTTTCTCTGATAAACGTCTCTTCATATTCTACTTATAAATCTTATCAGTAGCAATTGCCCCGTCAGTCCTTAACATGCAGACACTCCTCAAAATGTAGCATGTCCTTATAATTACAAAGTGTAATGTTTTGAAACTATTAACACGATTATCCATTCAATGATTTCACAAAAGTTTAATATTCTATGCAAACGATTATTGTCCCGTAATGGACAAAGTCTAGGCAACATTGAAGATGGGCACGAACGCAGTATAAGTGCAGCTTACACATAGAGAAGGCATTTGCTTTGCTGATGTCAGTAAATACTCAAAATATCATGTGGTAAGATGGACATTATCAACAGGAAAATCAATCAATTGTGACAGTCAGTAACCATTGAGTAAATATGATCACTTCACGTTGATGAATAGACAGTGAAATATTTCATACCTTTCGATACTGTGAAATTATAGCTAAGAGTGGAATAACAAAGAAGATTTTCGAAGAAGAGAAGGAAGCAGTGAATACAACCAAAGGTAAAATTATAAACTGTAATTATGAAAATTCACTCGCCATTATTTTTATAGTTAGTCGTTAAGTGCCCCATTTACTCATCAGTAACACACATAATAACTAAGGTCTATTAGATATCCACTTAACTAGTAGTACAATAACTTCTCAGAAATATAAGGAAGGTAAGTTCCATCACAGATGAGTCAATGCTCCTTTCGTGAGGAGTGGAGTAAACGTTTCGAAACTAATATATTCACTGTGTTGTGAGAAGGAACGTGTTGAGAAGTAATCAAATTATTATGACACGTTTCTTAATCGTCAATGTATTGTATTCATCATGATGACGTTGAATTTTCTTGATTAACGCTTTACATATTATTCGCACTTCTTGTTTTCTTGTATTTATTATTATTGGTTTCTTTCGTTCTAAGAGGTACATAGGGATTCATCCGCACGTCCTCATTGCGTTCGGTTATCCGTCAGCGTTTTCACCTGGCTCCACATCTGCCCACATGCTTCTATCTCCTTTTTTCATGACCTCCTTGATGTCACCTTCGCACTGACGACTAACTAGCCGCTTTACATTCGCGTTCCACTTGAGGGCGTGTCTTGAGATATCACTTGATGTTTTTCTCGAAGTATGGCCAATCCACGTCCATTTCTCCGTGCTTGTTTGTTGCACAATTGGTTTCTGATTGGTTCTTTTACAGAGGTCTTTCTTTGGTGCTGATCTTCAGTAGCATTGAGCGGAGACGAGTGCTAATGAAGGTCTGAAGTTTGTTTGAGATGCTCTTTATGACGCGCTGGCCAAGTCTCTGATCCGTATAGTAGCACTGACTTCACATTGGAGTTGAAAATCTGAATCTTATTTTTGATGCTGAGTTTTGTTGACCTCCAAACAGACTTGAGAATAGTGAAATCTTATCTTGCTTTTCCGATTCTTGCTTTGATATCCTCATCAGTTCCTCCTGTAGTTTAAACGATGCTTCCCGGATAGGTAAAAGGGGTTGCTTCTTTCAGATTTCTCCCATTTATGCTGATTGTTGTCTATTGTTGTTTCCGATGTTGTTGGCCAGAAATCTTCACCTAAAGTAACTCGTATTTTTGATGCTTCTTCTGCAAATTTATTGCTTTTCACTTGCATATCTTCCGGTTTGTGAGAAATCAGACGTATATCATCGGGAAAGTTCACATCTCCCACGTTTTCTGTGTGGGTACATTTTATGCCTGTTTCTTCGCTGCCTGCCACTTTCTGTTGCGTAATCCAGGTCACCGCAATCAGAGAAATCATTGGAAACCGTAGGCAGCCAGCTTGTCTTACCCATATTTTCACTACAATGGATTCCGTGAGTTTCCAGTTGTGAATAACTTGGCATGCAGCACTGTCATACAACCGTTGGATGAGATGTATATTTTTTGGCGGCACCCTGTAGTAGTGAAGCATTTGCAAATCACTTCTCAACTGACGCTATCGAAGGCCTTTTCAAAGTCAGTGAAGTTGAATTCAAGAGCCGACTGCCATTTCGAGCTCTGTTCAATGATGATCGTAGTGTTGCAGTTTGTTCGATGCATGAGTTGTTCATCCAAGTCCAGCCTGTTCCGGTTGACGTTTTCAATCCAAAGAGTGTTTGATTCTCTCCTGGATGATGTGGCTTAATATTTTGTTTAGGATGGACAGGTACATTGACTTAAGTCTCCTTACTTTGACAGTTTGAATACGTAGCCTTTCTTCCAGCTCGCAGGTACCTTTCCCTCCTTCAACTCCTTCCCCAGTACTGGTGTCGTCATGTCCACTGATGACTCTGGGTTCATTTTCGATACCTCTGCAAGGATACCGTCTGGTGCTACTGCTTTTCCAGTTTTTAGCATCCTTATTGCCATCAGGATTTCTCTTCTTTTCGGAGGGTTGAAGTCTAGTGGTAGTGGTGCTGTTCCCGCTGCTGGTGTTATTGGGCGCGTTGTAGGGGCCAGTGAACTCAGAAGTCTTTTGAAGTGTTCAGCCCAGTGTTACCTTTCTCCACTTCTTTGCTGATGGGCTTTCCATTGTTGTCTTTCACTGACCTAATTTGTGGTAAACGTTTCCCCGATAGGAACCAAGTTGTTTGATAGAATGTTGCCAGGTCACCTGTGCCTACAGGCTGTTCTACTTCACTTGCCATAGTTTCGTGATAACATCCTTTTACTTTCCTGACTGTTTAATTTACTCTTTTTATCAGTGCAGTGTAGCTTGCATTCAACTCCTGTTTTTGTCGCTCATCAACACACTGGACAATCTTTTGTTTCAACATCCTTCTCTCCTCTGTTAGTCTCCATGTGTCCGTAGTGAGCCATTGTTTGTCTTGTCTCTTCTTTCTGCCTAGAACGTTCATACAAGTTTGACTTCACACCGCTTTCACGTCGTCCCAGTGCTTTTCAACGCTGGTCTCTTCACTAGTGTTGATTTGTGTTTTGGCTTTTTTCCTTACGTTTGCAGTTAGAGTGTTCTTTGTATCCTGATCCTTCAGATTGACTTCCGTATCTTTTCAGGTCGTTCACAATCTGAGCAGCTTTGCCAGTCTCGTACATGGTGCGGACGTTCCATGTCCCCACATAGAATTTTTCTTTTGTCACAAGGAGACTTATCGTGCTGAAATTTCTGTAGCAACTGTGTTAACAGGGTGTGATTGCTAGCCTCATGCCTGAGAAGAGGTTGTTACGTGAATATATAGTTTACAGAGGAGTGACTTGTGGGTTGCTCAACTTCGAATCAAGAAAACAAGGAATTAAGCAATCAAGACAATATCAGCAAAAAGAAAATAAGTAACAAAAGGAAGGGCAGTGACAACAAAAATACATAAAGCCATAGCAACAGTATTACTTGTATATAAAAAGGTTAACAACAGTGATATCAAAACCATAGACTCACTGACCTGGGTCAAAATGAGTATATAAGTCTAAAAATGTATACAGTTATAGATATTAGATAGTGTTAAACAGTCACAGTATGCTAAATAGATGGTTATAGGTTTTATCAGTCAACAACATCCAATCCACAGATTCAATGTTCGAAAGTCAAATAATTAAATAAATTCCACAACTTCTTGGCCAGAAACGCCAGAGAAATTAAACTTTTATGTATCTGAGCGAATATGGTGCACTAATCGAAAAGCGTGTCAAAGTTGTTTTTTCTCTTGTTTTCTTAGCTGACCTTCAAAAGCTGCAAAAGGCAGCGGTCATCGCATCTAATGCATACAGAAAGACTTCAAGTGAGTAAATATATTCATCAATTTGATTAGTGAACTTTAAAACACAATGGAGCTGTGGACACGACTGTACGATTCACCATTTGATGAACAGGGTGGTGACTCAGCTGTACAAATGACGTGAAGCCAAGATCGACTTCAACCTTTCTTTACAATGGAAAGCAGAGAGAAGAGTAGATCAAGCGTCCGTCTTCTCAAAATATTGGTGTATTAATTAAAAAAGGACGACACTGACTGCAGAAGTGGTATCGTTTGCACTGTGGCAGAATATAATTCAATAGTAAATTAGTCCAGTGAAAATAACACATATTGTCTCAGTATTCATAACTGGATGACGTTTCTAGGACTATTTATCTCTCATAATCAAATCATATTATTGTATTATTATTTCTAAGCATATTTGCAGAGTATAAGGAAAGGAAATTACAAAAATGGTGAGTGACAGTTTTGACGTGCTTAAAATATTTTGAAGTGAAAAAGGTGTTCATCACTAAACTCCATGCGATTCCTCTTTGATTGAAATTAATCACAGTTCTACATCAAAGAATTTCAGAACTTCACGTTCAGCAGACAATGAATTCATCATATTTTGATTATGGTGACTATCTTGGTGCTACAAATGATGAAAAATCTCAGTGTCAACAAGTAAACATCAAATTAATTATGAATAAATATCAAGAAAATATGACATGGTATTTTGAATTGGCAGCGACTCATTTTTGAAGATCTCAAGTTTGAAGATCATGTGAAGGTAAAGACAAGAGACCAACCAGACGATAAGTTAAAGTAGGAATATACTCACTAATTGGAAATTCATAGTGCGCAAATTACTGACACATATCTCACCCTACAATGAATGTATTTCCATGAAATAATTCCTTTCAATATTGTCAAGTATGTATGCGACTATGAATTTGATGACGAGTCATTATTCCTTTCAGAAACATCGAATGATGCTGAAGTTACGCAGGCGTATTGGAAGGCTCGTTATGATTTTGACAACGGCACAAGTAATTTTACATAGTTATTTGATTTGACCGCATTTCATATTTAATAGTTATATTTATGGATGTACTTCAAGAGACAGAAGTAGTCTGTGTGGCTGATGACGTGTATATTATCAAGTTTTTTTAATCCCTAATTCCACATACGGCTATATCATTGAAAAAATTAGCAACATTACTTGTCACACTTATATTGGAATCTGCAAATTGTTGAACAGTTAGTCAGAATCACGGCTGAAATATCTATGCACAAAAGCGTCGAGTCTACTGCTCATATGGTGTTATTTTCACATTATTGAAACACGCAAAACTATTCCGATAAAGCTTCAATGACTTCATCAATGAATCATAGAATAAAGCCAGAAATGTTTATCACATATTATGTGAAGTTCAAAATAACAGTCAACCTCGTCTAGATTACTAGCTAGCTAGTTTTCTAGCCGGTCCCAAGCCCAGATAATGAATGAGGGTTGAGGCGTGTTGCTAGCAACTTCACCCTCGCTGAGGAGGCTGCTGGGTGACATCGCGCGTCAGGCCCTCGAGTGTAACTCGAAAGATAACCGGCGAGTGGACGTTCAAGAGTGACATGGAGGAGATCGTGTGGAGAGGAGCTAAAACAATATGGATTAACATGGATGCAGGTGAAAAGTACAGCAGAAGACAGAAGCAAGTGGAGACGTGCAGTTTAAGCGCTATGTTCCACTAGGAACCCAATGGAACAATAAAAATAATAATTAATAACAGTTACATGGAGACTACATGGCATGATCGTGCATAATTGGCTTTATTTCATAATAATCCAACGGTGTAATGTAACATTGAAAAAGGTACTAATGCATTATTGAAAAACTATTCACTGTTTTAGGGATACTACGGAACAAAATAAAACAATTAGAAATGAGCCGGATTGAATTTTTAATGTGTAAGTTGAAATATTGAAATGATTTACAACTGACTAGTTCAAACCCCAGAATACAGAATAAACTGGCTCCTGGATGAAATGAAGGAAGATGCCAAGCAGTATTATTGAAGTAAGTTTTTACTTAGATCCTCAGTGTTTTTTAAATTACTAACTAAGTGCATAACTGAATATGAACTTGAAGATGGATTTCGAGGTTAGCTGAAATCAGCTAGATGAATTTTTGAGCAACAAGTAACAATGAACTTCTCTTCACTCGCATTTCTTGATTACTTATCAGTGAACAGGCACATGATGGCCGAGCTACTGGGCGACCGGCCACATGATCACAGTAGGTGGCTGCACCCAATATCAGGGTTGTAACAACTTTTGAGAACTGGTGCTTCGCATAGCTGATTTCCTGTGAGGGGAATTGTAACTTGGAATCAACCAGATAATGTACACACTGAATATGTGTTTCAATATACACTGGAACTAATGCTTTATGACTAGTGTCATTGTTTGTTAGATGAAAATAGGATAAAATACTTTCTGCTATACAAGATACGTGTCTAGTTTCAACTCACTGTTGCTCTATTTCTGGTTTCATTCTGTTTCAGCTGCAGGAAAGTGAATTCGATTCCAAGGGAATTCAAGCAATATTGGTGAAGGGAATATATTGTTTACTTATCTCTTTTTGTTTTTTGATGACTTCGTCAAGAAGGAAATTTTCTTCTCTGCAACAGTCTTTTAAATAATTCTTTTTGTTTAATTAAATATAACATTTTTCTTGGTAAGATTTTGTTTCAATTGGCGTTTTCTGTCTTTATAGTACAGTGGGTTACATGCAAATGAGGTAGCTAATTGAAACAAATAGGCTCACTGACTGTGCATGACTCTAGTATTATTAGTACGACTGACGAAGTGTATTGTTTAGCCGAGAGGAAATGTAAGTTCGGCGAAGCGTAGATATTTGCCAAAGGCTATAAAGCGCGTATACGCATCATAATACGATGTGAAGCATAGAGAAATTGTGCGATAGATAGAGAAAGAGATAGTGTGTGTGAGAGGAAGAGGGGGAAAAGATAAAGAGAGAGTTTTTATTGGAGTGTGAGAGTGAAGCATTGATAGGTATAAATATGTTGAGGGTGTGTGATTCAATCTGTTTTCCCCTTTAAACCTCGTGAGCTTTAAACGATAATGCAGTGAACGTTTTCTCATCAAAGAGAGACTGCTGAGGACAGAATTAACCCAAGAGCTTATAAAGAGATTATCACGAGAGGAACAGCGCATGTTCATCATTGTATGTGTAATTCACATGTGTGCGTGTCGTGTTTTCGTTACAAGGAGAGAGATACATTGAGATAGATAGACAGACATACAGTCAGATAGAGATAGTGCGTGCGCGTTTGTGAGTGACAGGGAGAGAGAATTGTGAAAGTTTCTCGCACTGTTAAAAAGTATGCCTAGCCTCTAACGGAAAGCAGCGCAGCCTGATACGCTTTCCCATCGTTTGCTACGCTCATTTTCCTATTAACAACTGGCTTTCTATGCTTGTGATTTGTAAGCACGATGCATAACACTATCACTCCTACATGTTCCGCCTAGTGACATTTGTCCGGTTGAGTGATTATTGAATTCTCAGTACTGTAGCAGTTAGTCGAAGGCTTTCATATATTTTGTGGCCATTATAATATTTGATTTCTGTCTCCTATTCATAAATATGAGTATATATTTGAATCGACAGCAGTTGACTTAAGTCTTTCACTGGCTCAATCGATGAAGGTATCAGGTTTTCAGTTTGCGTGAAGGTGGATTTCAAAGTGAACTCAATTGTCCATTTATGCTTAAATACTATGTGTTATTCTAAGTTACTTATCGTAATCCGTTCTGTAATAATTTTGCTTTCCGAGTTCGTTCAATTATTTTCTAAATAACTGATAATTGGGATTGTATTTTGTATCTGGCGTCTTACACTACTTATCATTAGTCAGTAGGTTGAGATATCGCATAATTTTCTTCAGCACTATCATAGGTATAATTAGTGATTTCATTGCTAAACAAGAGGCCACTTTGAGGAAAGAATAAGGCTGACTGGTAGTAGAAGTGAACTTCTTGTTGAAAGAACAATATATCAGGAATACAAAAAATATTGAAGCATAAATTTTCATCGTTAATCAATATGAAAGAAAACTTGAGCAGGGCAGAATATCCTTTACGATAATTTCCTCCTCCTCTGGCTGTACAATTTTATGTATGCATCTTTATATATAGAGACTATTATTCTAGAATAATCGTCGTTAACAATATTAGTGCCTTTTAAATACTATCGATTTGTTAAGATAACAATGGAATTACAGACAGTTTGAGGAAGATGCATAAGTTATGATAATGAGCACAAAACTGTAATGGTGAATAGAATATGAAATAAAATGAAGGAAATCTCTATAACAACAAATTAGGGATCATTACAACATTGCCTGGTGGTCAAAGTAAGGAGACTGTCTGAATTGACTACTTTTGGATACATAAGTTAGAATTCCTAATGTATATCTCAATATGGAGAAGATGAACTCTTGAGATACGGTAGATCACTTTGAAGGCCTCCTCGTTAACATCCCTCTTGTGTTCTGTATCCACAAGATGAGTGAGATAGTATATGGCTATGAATGGATTTTGTTTGTCCCTTACTTAACTACTGTGCAGTATGATGTTAGAAACTCCAACGATAAACACACCTAATTGTACGGCCTTTGCAACTAACTGGCTCACTCCACAGCGAGAGCAATCAAATTAATAGATACACATAGAAGAGGCGAAATAAGGCAGTGTGTCTTTAACTCCCGAACGCAAAATACGGATGGGTGGTTTTCATGACACAGCATAATTCAGCACCACTGAATGCTTTCTGTACCACCGTATTACTCAGGCGTTGTGTTAATATCACACTGATGTTACCATCACCGAGGAACTGAAGTTGTATGAAAAAGGTCTATTTCGGAACAGTTGGTTGTTGCTTTGGCCTGCCTTGACTTTTGATTCATATTCTTATCGATGAATTTTTCTGTATAACCGTTCTCAATCAGCAAACATTTAATAATATTAGGCTCCTCATTGAGACATTCATCAGAGTAGATTACTCTTGCTCTGTGGCGAAACAAGTACTTTATCAGACTGCGTTTGAACTTCAAAGGTAGGAAGCTGAAATAATGAGTATACTGACAGTCAGTTGATGTAAGTTTTCTAATAACACTTCACCTTCCTCTGATTGTACCGTCCTCTTTTATAGTCATAAGGACGTCTACGGAGTGAATTGCTAGAGACTTTTGTTTTCTTGATACTAATATTTTTTGCATGATGAACATGGTTAAATTTGTCAGTGAATGTTCTTTGCTTCATCCTCATTTTTCATAATCAAAAATGGATCCTCAATACCTCCAGTTCAAGTAAAATAATTTTTAAGTCGTCACTGATTCATATCAGTTATGATAATTGTACCTTCAATCGATCATGTATGCTTTCTGTTGATTTTTGTAAAGAGCCTCTGTACAATAATTATCCCTGGTTGGATGAAAGAGATTTCTTCCTCGATTTCACTTCTGCGTTATTTCTTGAAATTCCTCTTACAAATGTAACTTATAGGACCACTGAAAACGACGCGTAGGTGGGTAGTACTGGTGTTTTTCGTACTGGACAACTCTTTCTTCTACGTTTGGCACTCTTCGACAGTACTCATCTACAAGGGTTTTAACGCAGAATGTAAATGTCACACGTGAAGCTTCTTGACCATTCACTCACTGGCACACCAGGTAATGGTGTGATCACCAGCCAGCTGTCAGGTACTCTCTGGTTTTCCAGTGATTCTCTAGGTGATCTTAGCTCGTAACAGGAACATAATGATATATAGATATAATTTCCTACATGTCTGTCTTACATGTCTGTTTGTATTTCCATACAACCCTCAACGAAAAGAGACTCTATTGGTTTATGACTTAATTTTCCCCTCACACTGCATATAACCTTTGAAATTCTATTAGTTGTTCGATATCCTAATTCATGAACGACATTGGTGCTTCTCCAGGTCATTTTAAACATTTATATATACATATGCATGCACTGTCAACCTTTTGTTAAACTGTTGTTTTTAGGCAGTGAAAGCTCTCTTATCAACGTTCAGTCTTCTCTTCTGTCACAGCAGCCCAGCGGTGTTATTATTGACGTGCGATCATGACAGATAACCCAGGTCATTTCGTTAGCATTCACTAATGCTCTACTAGGTTGTAGTCCCAGTCATCACACATAGTAAGAGCTTCGTGTTAATTCTCATCGCGTTGTTTCGCATTAGCTTTATGTGACTCCTCTAATTAGGCATTTAAACACTCACCCATAAACTACTTTTCCAATAATCATGATCATAATGATAATGATAGTAATAAAATTATCGGACGAAGAATATTCACATTTTCCACAACCTACTCGTCATCATCATCATCATCTGATTCTACACAGTTTTGTATCCATCCATCCATAATAGCCAATAAAGGAATTGGTGTTATGAACAATATTAATGTCGTTTCAGAATAACATCCAATCAATCGTTAGCAGTAGTGGTAGTATGAATAGATTACAAATGAAAAGCATCTGTATTTGTGATCACATGTATCAACATGACACCACACACTGAATGAATATCAGATAAACTAAGGAACATTAATAATAATAATAATACAAATTCATGAATTTATAGGCTGGAGAAAGAGAAAGGCTGAGCAGTGTAGTAGAAGTATGGGTGACTGGCTGATTGGATGGACTTGTTTCTTCTGCACACACACAAACACAGAGTACCGGTCGTTTCAGTGATAATGATTCGGAGAGAAACACAATGAAAACTCAGTTCAATGAAGTGTACTCTGCTGCTAACACTTTCACGTGTAAAGAGGAATCCTAAAATAGGATGAATTGCCTTCCAAGATGCCCACCTTCCAAGAAAACCAGATAGTTGCATAAAGAGAAATTTGCATACAGGGAAGGTACGTGAACAGGACAATATACACATTTTCACTGGTTCCTTCATCTCCAGAACAAAAGAAACTTAGTAAGGACCCTCACTCAGCTAAAGGTTTAGTGTTATATGTTCAAAAAATGCAATTGAAGATGAAATTAAGACTGCATGCGACACCCTAAATGAAAATGGCTGTCCAGAAAAGTTCATCAGGAAACACATGACCAAGACAGTAGAATAGGAATATTCACTATCCGTGAACAAGAAGCATTTATACATATACAACTGCAGTTCAAGGACGATATACCTAGCGAAATAATTACGAAGAAGTTAAGAAAACCTAATCAGAGTAATATTAACGCCTGCAAACTACAAGTTTTATTGTTGACATGATCGGTGGGGATTCCTAAATTGAAAGATGAAGTACTTGGAGTAGCTGTTCACCACCAACCTTATCGACCAATTCAACTGCGTATGTGGCGGAGAGTTATATTGGCCGATGTTCTTAGAACTTGATTTTTGCGCTCGCTCGGGTAAACGTACCAGTGTGGTGTGGCTAAATAGAGTTATAGTAACATTGTATAGCTCGATATTCCACCACCTGGTCCAAACCGAATGGCCACACAGCTAATATTGAAGAATCCTTCTCCATCATCACCTATCAGCTACTAAATAAATCGCCAAAAGCCTTCAGGAACCGTATACGCTGAACAATTTGCCTAAAAGAAAAGGCTGTCTGTATATAAGTGCAGACGAAACAGGTCCAACCAGCCAGCCACTTCTAATACTACTGCT